TCTAAGTTTAGTTTTTTGTGGCTGGACTGGCAAGCTAATCGAACGGTTTCTTTGGAGTAAAGGGTTCGCTACCCTAACTTGCTAAGAGAAAGGTTAGAATCTCTAATGAGTGTGTTGTAATTGCAACAAAAGGAAATACTTTTTTGAGCTAAGGAAGCAAAGATCTCCCAGGAAAAACGGAACTTGGTTCATATCATGAATGGACCGATCCGGACTTATAGAAACTAAAAGATAATTGAAGAAAGAAGATACATCGAAGACGGAAGAAGAAAAACGTGTTGTAATGTTCTTACTGAGGGAACATTGGTTTTAAAAGATGCCTGGGGGGGGGGAGTAAAGCGTGGCGATGCAAAACTTTTCTTAAGGGCTGTAATTATTGCGTTATAGCTGTTCAGTCAGATAAGCAGGTTTTGTCAACAGAAGCGATGATTGGCGGGCACTCTTCATGTTTGAAAGCAAATGTATAAGAGTTAATAACTATGTTTTAAGCATTGTATAACCTCCATTCTTGGGTTTTTAGTTAGGTTTTTTTAACTTTTTCCTATAGATTGTAGATTTTCCCTCCCCAATTTCTGTTGTAGTTTTGTAGAAATGCAAATAAAAAATTCCCCCCTCGGGGGGCTTAAAGAAAAGAAAAGAAATATTTCTGCACCACCTTCCTTCACATGGTGATATCAGTTGCAAGAGTTAAGGCTTTATTCTGATGTACGTGTTTTAACTCTGCTTTAAACTGTATGTTTATATTTGGTAAGCTGCCTTGGGAATTGTGGAAAGGTGGTATTATTTTTCACTGAGACTTTTAAATAAACATAGTGAACTGGAGGCAGTTTCCAGTTTTCATACATTGCCTTCCAAAAGTACACTTTTCTTCACAGTGACCTTTAAATGTTAACCATCTGGCTTTTTAAAATGCTTTTGTACTGAAGATAATTTAAGTCTGTTAAGTCCACGCTATTTCTTAGCGTCTCAGTGGTATCAGAACCAGTTTCTGAGCTAAGCATAAAACTCCAACTCATTTCCAGTTCTCCCACCCAAACTTTGCTCACTTTTCTGCCATGTATGGGCAGAGTTGGCATCATAGCTGCTTTTTGCAGGCACAAGTATTTGTTAATGCTGGCATCTTTTGATATTTTCTTATGCTTCTGTAAATCACTGTGTCAGGCATGTGTCATTCTTCCACCTGAAAATATTTACTTTCAGAGTTGCAAAAGTAAGGATTATCTGCCCATAGAGAAATGAATAATTTCTGTTTATGCATTTGGGTTCTGGGCATGATTCCCGAATTGGAAAAAAGATAATGAAGAGATGCAACAGAGCCCTGACCTGGATAGCCCAGGCAAGCCCAATGTCATCAGATCTCAGAAGCTAAGCAGGGCCGACCCTGGCAAGTTCTTGGAAGGGAGACCTCCAAAGAATACCAGGGCCGGGACACAGAGGCAGGCAATATCAAGCCATCTCTCTGAAATTTCCTAGCCCCACTAGGGGTCACCAAAAGTCACCATGACTTCCAGGCACCATAGTTCAAAAGAATCTATTCTTCGGCGCTCGGCCTTCCTTATAGTCCAGCTCTCGCAGCCATACATGACTACTGGGAATACCATTGCTTTGACCATGCGGACTTTTGTTGGCAGGGTGATGTCTCTACTTTTTATCATGCTGTTTAGGTTCGCCATCGCTTTCCTCCCAAGGAGCAGGCGTCTTTTAATTTCATGGCTGCAGTCACAGTCTGCGGTGATCTGGGATCCCAGGAACGTGAAGTCTGTCACTACTTCCACGACTTCCCCTTCTATTTGCCAAGGAGTGATGGGGCCGGATGCCATGATCTTAGTTTTTTTGATGTTGAGCTTCAAGCCCACTTTTGCGCTCTCCTCTTTTACTCTGAGCAAGAGGCTCTTTAGATCCTTTTCACTTTCAGCCATTAGAGTGGTATCATCTGCATATCTGAGGTTGTTGATCTTTTCCCCAGCAATCTTAATTCCCGCTTGTGATTCATCCAGGCCAGCATTTCGCATGATGTACTCTGCATATATATTAAATAAGCAAGGTGACAGTATACATCCTTGTCGTACTCCTTTTCCTATGCTGAACCAATCAGTTGTTCCGTATCCGGTTCTAACTGTCGCTTCTTGGCCCTTATACAGGTTTCTCAAGAGACATGTGAGGTGGTCTGGTACTCCCATCTCTTTAAGGACCTGCCATAGTTTGTTGTGATCCACACAGTCAAAGGCTTTAGCATAGTCAATGAAGCAGAAGTAGATATTTTTCTGGTACTCTCTTGCTTTCTCCATAATCCAGCGAATGTTGGCAATATGATCTCTCGTTCCTCTACCTCTTCGAAACCCAGCTTGTACTTCTGGTAGTTCTCTATCCACGTACTGTTGAAGCCTAGCTTGTAGGATCTTGAGCATGACCTTGCTAGCGTGTGATATGAGTGCAATTGTGCGATAGTTTGAACATTCCTTGGCATTGCCCTTCTTTGGGATTGGAATGTATACTGATCTTTTCCAATCCTGTGGCCACTGTTGCGTTTTCCAAATTTGCTGGCAAATGGAGTGCAGAACTTTAACAGCATCATCTTCTAAGACTTTGAATAGCTCAGCTGGAATACCATCACCTCCACTAGCTTTGTTGTTAGTAATGCTTTCTAAGGCCCATTTAACTTCACATTCCAGGATGTCTGGCTCAAGGTCAGTGATTATACCGTCGTGTTTGTCAAGGACATTGAGGTCTTTCTTGTATAGTTCTTCTGTGTATTCTTGCCATCTTTTCCTAATCTCTTCTGCTTCTGTTAGGTCCCTACCGTTTTTGTCCTTTATCATGGCCAGCTTTGCATGGAACGCTCCCTTGATTTCTCCAATTTTCTT